CATGTCAATCTCCAAGGTGAGTGCAGTGATTGCCTCAAAAGGTTTTTGCAACAAAATATGAATTTAAGGGTCCCATCATTTTTGTCCAGGCCTCTTTAAGGAGTGTATTTTATTAAGATATTTTGTTGAATGATCATTGCAAAGCCATGCCTGACTTTAATTTCTTTATTTTCATATATTTTAAATGTATCCTTTATTTTGTACCTGCAACAGACTGGCAACCTTTCAAGGGTGTATCCTGCGTCGCGCCTGTAGACTACCGGAAAGAGGCTCCTGCCCTACCGCAATCCTGACAAGGACTAAGTGTGAGGACAGACAAAAACCACGGAGCACACAGAATTCTCCCTCTATTGCCTCCTCTCTCTTTGGCTCCTGCTCTCCTTGAATCCTCTCCATTGCCCAGGAAGCTGGAGTCCCCCTTGGCTGGATCTCCACCACACTGGAGATGCTGGCCCCTGGGGAACAAGATCTCCAGAACCATCAAGGATAAGTCAGAACCTTTCAGAACCAAACTGCTGCAAAACAGACCTTTTGCAACACGTTTTTCTTGAGTTTCAGAACTTATAGAGCCAGACTGTAGAGAACAACTACCTTGATGAACGACTGAGACAAAGAACCCCTGCCTTACTGTCCTGACGGCTGAGCTGCAAGTGGATGAAACTCAGGTTTTCCAAATGGACATGGAAAAAGGTTTGCAGGTCTGGCATGATTAGGGACAGAACAAACAACATGTGTTTACTGATGTGTAAAGTCAAGCTAACAGAATAGACTGCATGCAACGCTATGCTACAGGAATATGCGCTGAGTTGTTGCTGAAGCTTGGAGAAGCTTTAGTTCACTGAGGGTTAAACGCTGATATAACATTAGTTGAGAGTTTTAAACTGAAATGTTTGACTTGGAGCTGAATGATTTTTGTTAATAAACTCTTATATTTTGAACAGAAGTTGTGGTGAATTTATTCCAAGTATCTGCAGAATTAACTGTTGACCATGATTAGTGCTCAAATCACTCTTTCATTTATTGTTCTAACACACAACTAGTAGGGCTGTGTGTCATAAACAGTATATAACAGCTGAAATAATATTTTTGGCAGTATCGTTCCACTACAAAACTTGACTTGAACTTGTCTGTTCCATGGCTGTCTATTTTGAGTGCATAGACACCCTTACGCCCACTGTCTATTTACCTGGTGGCAGTTGGGTTATGTTGAAGGTCTCATTCTCCTCCAGAAATTTCATCTCCTCATTTATACCTTTCTTCTATCATTTCACCTCAGGAGATGTCACGGCCTCCTGATATGCAAGAGGGACATCCCATACTGCTCTATAACAGACGTCCATGCATGCTTGTAGTTTTTCCTCTATATCTTCTGTTTCAAAGTCTTGAAAATATGTTGGTGTTCTTTTTTTTTTGCTATGAGGATTTTTCCTGATGGTTTTGTGGTCTCTTCTGGTTGTGTGCACTCAGTCTTTTCAGGTACAGAGTCAGAAAGATCTACCACAGTATGAATCTCAACATCATAAATATTTTCACTAGTCTGTTTCTGTTTGGAGGTTTTTATTAAAAAACTTCACCAGTTGGTGTTTCAAGACTTCCTCTGTACTGTATTTGGATAATATAACAGATAAGCTGGGCTGTTTTTATCTTATCCTACAAAAACACCTTGCTCACATTTGGTATTTAGTTTTTGTTGGGATCCTGAGGCTTGGTGCATTACCAGCCACAAACCTTTCTGTAGCATTGACTACATCACTTTTGCTTTTAGTGCGCTAATAGCTGTTGCGCTCTTTGTTGTTTTCCTCTGTTGTCCAGCAGGTTGA